TATCAATCCCCAACTCTTAAAAAAAATTAGAGTCCAAAACTTAAATGACTTGGTTTCATTTAATTATAATCTAATATAAAATCAAGATAATATTACATACTACATACTAAATAGAAATGTATTAATAGAACTTTTATATATATAGGTAAAAGTGTTTATCAATCCCCCGACTCTTAAAAAAAATTAGAGTCCAAAACTTAGACTTTGTTTCATTTAATTATAATCTAATATAAAATCTAGAAATCTATTGTATTAATTGTTGATATATACATTTATAAATTGAGCATATTCTTGAATACAATTAGTTTCTAAATATAACTTTCTGAATTTTGAATTAATTTTTTAGTTTCCAAAATATAAGAATCATCATTTAATAAAATGGATTTTTAAAGTTCAAATTGTGTTCTAATTAAATAAGATGATGTAATTTAAGGGTGAATCTCTAATTTTTTTAAGAATTGAGACTGATACATACTATCCTGATATATGTATTAGTGCATATCAGTCCTAACTTCTAAATGAATTAGAGTCCCAAGCCTTAAATGACATCGTTTTATTTAATAAAAATTTAATTTAAAATTTAAAAATCTCTCGGTATTAAATTTCATACTTGAATTTGGAAACTATAAATCCAATTTAATATTTAAAAATTCACATTTAAAAACTAATTTCATACAAAATATATAATTAATTTTCAAATATAGGTATCAACATTTAATACTGTGGATTTCTGAATTTTAAATTGAATTTTAATTAAATAAAATGATGTCATTTAAGATTAAAATTCTAATTTTTTTTAAGAATTAGAACTGATATGCACTTTTTCTCATATATATATATATATATATATATAAGGTTTATGCTTATTGGTTGGGTCTCAAAAAATTAAAAGCAAAAAGGCCTAAAAAAAACTAAAACAAACTCGTCCATGGTTAAAAAATAAGATATTTAAATCTTTTTTAATTGAAAGTTTACTTAAATGATATAGTTTGGAGGTTTTTTCCTCCTAATTTTTTAGAGACCCAATTCATAAGCACTTTTCTTTATATATAAAAGATTTTAACTTAGAGAAAAAATTTAGGTAGAATGCATTGAAATAAATCAATTTTTTAGTAGTAAGATTGAATTCTTAAATGAATAAAATATTAAATCTAATTCACCATTTAGTTATAGTAGTTAATGAGAAAATATTTTTTTATATAATTAGACTGCTTAATTAAAGCTCATTCGTGTGTAGAATAGAAAAATCTAATTCTTGATGAATAAGATTCTAAATCTCAGTTAAGATTGAATTATAGTAGTTGATGTTCTATTTCTATATTAATATCCAAGATTTAGATTGGGGGTTATTAATTTCAACTTATAGCACAAACAAACATTAATAAGAACTATTTTAAGGTTTTTTTTTTAGCTGTGAAAATCTAAATAATTTAATTTTTATTGTTAAAGCACTCTGAAGAATTGAGGAAGATGAAATTAAATTTAATTGACAAATGTTTCCAAGACAACCATTGCACACAAATAACAATTGTTAGGCCAAATTTAGTTCTGAAAGTTTTAGAGTTACACTAAATTAATAAATTTAAATGAAAAAATCTACACCTACTATCTTTTATCCTTTTCCTTTTTATAATAATGAGGTAAGTTTAATTGAAACTATACCCTTTTTTATCAAGATATTTGAGTAATAACAAACAATATAATTAATGTATAAAAAAAGAAATATAATTAGGAAATAGCTAAATTAATAAATCAAAATTTTTAAAATTTGTAATAATTATCTAACTAAGTCAAGGAGAAAAATTAAATACTATAAAAATGTTTAGATTACAAATATGGAGATATATAATGATTACATATTTAATTATTATTGAAGGAATTAAATAGCTTCAAATATTGTCAATTATAACAAGTTTATTTTTAAAATAAATGTTCCGACTTTTACCTTTCCCATTGTGAACGAAAATTTTAAAACATAAACACTTAAGAAATAACTTCTACTTAAATGCCTAAGTATTTTTTAGATGTAATTCCTCGAAAGCTATTATAATTATAACATCATATATCTTCTAAGAGAAGTAATAAGCAATTTTAAAGTTTAATCTCAAAATTAATATCTAAAATGGTGAAAAAATAACTCAAAATAGAAGAACATTTAATAAAACTTCAAAAGAATGGGAACGAAGAAATTATGCATCCAAACAAAGTGAAAAGTATCCAACAATTAACTTGGTACATGAATCAAAACACACAATTGTAACCAATTAAGATGTAAGCTAGTTTTTAGAGGTTTCAAGTAGTTAACTAAATTTATGTGCTTTGAATTTTCATTCAAGGTCATTCAAGGTTTAGCACCTATCTCTCTAATTTTTTATTCTACTCCATAAGATACTTATGACTACCCTTTACTTCACCTTGAAAAAAATATTTTTAATTTAATTTAATGAGAGTAAGAAATGAAAAAAATAAAAAATAAAAAAGAGAGAAAGAAATAGATTTTACTTTAATTGAAAAACAAAAGCTTTGAGCATTTCCAATACAACCAAAAAAAAAAAAATTACCATTGATAGCTTGTAATATACCATAACTATTAATCTTAAAATGCAAATATGTGTATAAATTTATTAATAACAGAAAATTCAAGGGATTTGAGGGCACTGTTGTTTGTACGTTGGTTGGGATGGGTATTACCCACGATATTAACAGTAGTACTGATACACTACCATCGAACAACAAGCCATCGAATTTCCTATAGATAAAATAAAATTATAATATTCATTAATATAGCAATCTAATATGATAAAAAAATTCAAACATCCCTTAAATAAAATGATTTACACACCATTCTTGACTGGCAGCACCTTTTGTTGCTCATCAAATCAGGTGAATTAGTAATCTCCTTCACATAGCTCTACACGATT